CTGGTGAGAACCTGTCTTTTTAAATTTAAAAAAAAAAAAAAAAGTAAAAAAGATCAAAAGTATCAGTACTTAGGAGGCAGAGGTAGGTGGATATCTGTGAGTTTGAGGCCAGCCTGCTCTACAAATCCAGTTCAAGGATGGCCAGGGCTACATAGAGAAACCCTGTCTTGAAAAACAAAACAACACAAACAAGTCATTGAATTAGGTGGATATCTGTAAGTTCAAGGTTAGCCTAGTCTACATAGATCCTGGGTAGCCAAAGATACTTAATAGAGAAACCTTGTCTGAGAAAATGAATGAACAAACACACAAATCATCAAATAAACTTTGACTTGGAACTAGGGCACAATTTTCAACAATTTCTGGAATGGTCCCTAAAAGCCCAGAGATCTCAAAAAAAAAAAAGAGGAAAAATTGAATGGGATAATAGGTAGATTAGTGTCAACTTACTCACACTAATAATAATAGTAATAGAGTGAATACTTGTGTACTATTATTTATGGACAATTTATATTGGTTATATTGAATATGCCCCTATTTCTGTTTACAGTATTTGTATACCTATGCAAAGTTATTTTGTCAGATTGTATGCATGCATATTTCTACCTCTGTTTAAGACATTTTGTATATTGATACAATTTTAGGATATATTTATCATATTGCATTATATATTTCTACCTCTGATCAAGATATTTATACATTGTTTACGTCAGTAGAGTATGGGATTCTTAATCCCAGGATTGTGGGTTCGAGCCCCACATTGGGTGCCATTTGTTGACAGAGGTTTCTGTCCCACCCATTGCCGCAGTTGTTCAGTTCTAAAGAAATACACAGAGGCTTACATTAATTATAAATTGGTTGACCTATTAGCTCAGGCTTCCTATTAACTCTTATAACTTACATTAACCCATAATTCTTATCTGTATTAGCCATGTGGCTTGGTACCTTTTATCAGCGAGGCATTCTCACCTTGCTTCCTCTGTGTCTGGGTGACTTTTTCCAGAATTCTCCTGTTCTGGTCACCCTGCCTGTACTTCCTGCCTGGCTACTGACCAATCAGCATTTATTAAAGCAATACAAGCCATAAATTTTTACAGGGTGGAAGACCATTGTTCCACAGCAGGCTCCTAGCCACACTGTAGCCATTTTTGTACTATATATTTGCGTGAAGTGTCATTCCCAGCACTGGTCATCGTAAAATAAAAATACAAAACACCTCAAAAATGTCAATAATGCTGGAAGTTTTACAATATTAAACATTTAGCCAAGACTATGTAAAATTTGGTATTTTGGTATATCCTTCTTACTAGGTTTTTTTTTTTCCGAGACAGGGTTTCTCTGTAGCTTTGGAGCCTATCCTGGAACTAGCTCTTGTAGACCAGGCTGGCCTTGAACTCAAAGAGATCCACCTGCCTCTGCCTCCTGAGTGCTGGGATTAAAGGCATACTCCACCAATGCCCATGTGTATGTGGTTTTTTTGTTTGTTTATTTGCATGTATGTCTATGTACCATATGTATGCCTGAAGGTATTAGATCCCCTGGAACTGGAGTTACAGACAGTTGTGAGCCAATATGTAGGTGTTGGGAATTGAACCCAGGTCCTCTGGAGGAGCAGCCAGTGCTCTTAACTGGTGAGAAATCTCTTCAGCCTTTCATCTTAAGGTAAGATGTATACAAATTTGATTTTGCCTTTAATAAATGGTAAAATTATAGGTATACAAAATTATTTTAAGCTAAATTTCTTTACGATTTATTATAGTAAATGGTTGGTTTGTATATTATTACTTGTGGTCACATAAAATGTCTCTGTGATGCTACACAGTGGTGCACACCTTTAATCCCAGCACTCGGGAGGCAGAGGTAGGCAGACCTCTGAGTTCAAGGTAATCCTGGTCTACAGAGCAGGACAGCCAGGGCTACGCAAAGAATCCCTGTCTAGAAAAACAGAAAAAGGCTTTGTGAAGAGAACATGGAGAATTTCTAAGACCTTCTGACCGAGGCTGAGGAGATGGCCCCATGGGGAAAGCGCCTGCTGTGCAAACATGAGGACCTGAGCTCAGATCCCCAGGCCAGTACTCCAAACAAAACAAAATCTCAGGTAATTCATGGCTGTAATCCCATCGCAGGAGGGCAAAGGCACAGAGAACCTACAGGCTCACTGGCCAGCTAGTCCAGCTGAAACAGTAAATCCCAAGTTCATTGACAGACCTCGTCTCAGAAAGTGTGGTGGAGTGAGAGAGGCTAACACCCAGTACTGGCCCTTGGCTTCCCACAGGCAAGCACTGGCAAGGCTGTCAGCACACATGAGCACACAAAGAAGAAAGGGGGAGGAAAAGGAGGGGCCAGCCAGGCATGGTGGTGCACCTCTTAAATCCCAGCACTTGGAGACAGAGACAGATGGATCTCTGTGAGTTTGAGGCAAATCGAGTCAAGTTGCAGGACAGCCAGGGCTACATAGGACCCAGCCTCAAAAAACCAAAACTAAACAAACACGAAACCCAAACAAACAAAAAAGGAGGAGGAACCCTGACCTAAGCAATAATTGCCTGAAGAAGCTCAGGAGCAATAGAATAGAACATAATAGAAACACATCATACAAATGTAAGAAATTCTGAAATAAGAAAAAATAAAAAAGAAATCTCCAAGAGGTTCTAATGGCTCAGTTAATAACCAGCTTCAAGGGATTTTTTTAAAATTTATTTATTTATTTATTGCTTTTCAAGGCTTTCAAGGCAGGATTTCTGTAGCACGAATTCTAATTGGTCTTAATAATAAAATCCTGAAGTCAGCTACAGCTATCAGGGGTGAAAGTTGAAAGATCAGAGTTCTTACCTCTACCTCATACTGAAAGGGCGATCCTATCTCTTTGAATCCTCAGACTGAATGGTCTGAGCTCCTGTCTCCACCTGCCTTATATTCCTCTCTTCACCCAGCCATACCACTCCTGTCTCTCCACCTCCCTAGTGTTGGGATCAAAGGTGTGGTTCACCACCACTTGTCTCTGTTTCTCTTTGAGACTGGATCAATCTAGTATAGCCCAGGGTGGCCTTGAACTCACAGAGATCTGTCTGCCTCTGCTGGGATTGCCTGGCCTCTATGGCTAACTAGTGGCTTAGCTCTGCACTCTGATCTTCAGCAAGCTTTATTTGTTAGATCACAAACAAAATATCACCACAGAGTTCTCTGTGTAGCTCTAGCTGTCCTGGAACTTGCTCTGTAGACCAGGCTGGCCTCAAACTCAAAGATTCACTGGCTTCTACCTCTGGGATTAAAGGCGAACGCCACCAACGCCTGGCTCCAAGGGAATTTTCTACAGAAAACGGCTCCTCTTGTCATTGGGAAGTTGAAGAAGTTGGTATAGTTTGTTACAGCCTGGCGTGAAGGAACATTTACAGCACAATCTGTTAAATTCTGTCAGGAGGTGTGGTACCAGTGTTGAAAAGAGCCAACTGAGCCTAAGTGGGAAGGCCAGTGAGGACCCCAAGCAGACACTTTACCTCTTTTGTGTTGTTTGTTTGTTTGTTTGTTTGTTTGTTTTTCAAGACAGGGTTTCTCTGTGAAGGCCTGGCTATCCTGGAACTCACTTTGTAGACCCAGGCTCGCCTCACAGAGATCCTCTGCCTCCTGAGTGCTGGGATAAAAGACACATGCCACCATGCCTGGCTCTCAGACTCTGACCTCTAAATTGAACTTAGGAGTATGAGTAGGTAAGTGACAAGAAAATGTGAGGGCCCTCCTGGTCATCAAATGCCAGGATGAAGCGTAGGCCCAGAACCCTGGAAACCACACGCATGAAGAGAATCGCAGGCCGTGTAGCTCAGGCTGAATAGACCCTTTATTATGTAGGCAGTGGGAAACAATCGAGGATTGTAAAGGAGAATAACAGCAGAATCTTAGCTAATGTTTGTGTTCCTACACTATCTGGCTAGGCACTATAATAGGAGCACAGCTCTCTGACCGTGAGCTTCCTCACAAAAGGAACTGAAGCTTCCAGTAATTAATTTGCACACTTGGATCTCTTTTCTAATAGTACTAATACATTTTCCTAAAGTCTGGAGAATTAAGAATCCAGATATTTCCAGTAATAAGGTATTGTTGGGGAGTAAACGGCAGAAACTCTTGGTTTCGGGAAAGAAATAACTTGTTCCTTGAACATGCCCCGCAAAGCATGAAGATCAGCCGGCCTCTTTGCACATCAACAATCTTCCTTCTTAGTTCTAACTACTTCCCTACTTGACTTTGTCATTGCACTGTTGATTAAAGTAGAAGAAATAAGAATGCGAACTAAAGGCCGGGTGAGTGGCGCACCCCTTTGCTGAGAAACGTGAGAGTCAACAGATGTAGAGACTTTTCCCACTCTGACTTCAGCCTGTCCTGTACACCACGGTTTCCTTTGTGATGGCCAAACTAGACCGCAGGCAACGCGAGAGACCTGGAAGCCCTACAGCAGTGGACAGGAATGCATGAATGACTTCAGTTGTCACTTGAGTTTTTCACAACTATTACGCACTTCGGATGATCTGTGTCTACGTCTGTGTCATAAAACCCCAGGCACGTTGGTTATACGGCACCACCCACCTCATATTTAACTCACGTCTACTTAAGCACTCAACAACACGAGAAGAACGATAGATGTGTCAGAGAAGTGACACTTTGCCTAATTTATCGGACCCATAAAACAGGGCTCAGGAGAACTCTCAGGTTCTGTAGACACCCACTTACCTCCCCGAGCCGGTCCCTTTAACCCAGAGGGTGGAGCGCGCGGTCTCCTAGGAGACCAGAGCTAATTGTCCGCGCAGGCGTACATTCTGGGTACGGCTGATGCAACTTTCCGCGTGTGAACCGGCTCTACCCAGAGTAAGGAAGCCGATAGGGACCACAGGCACAGCCAATCAGCGGCGGCGCACGAGGGTGAGGCAAGTCCACCTCTCGGGGGATGGGGGTGGGGTTCTGCGAATGACGTTAGGCGGCGCTGGACGGTAGACGTAGACGCCCTCGGATCTCAGGCCTGCCTGGCAGCTTCCGGGTGTTCGGCTGCAGCCATTTTGGGCTTATCTTCCCTGAGCGCTCGCCCGCCACCCAGCCCTTCCGCCCGCGCGTTTGGTGCCTGGGTACGGGCCGCGGTCTCCGGAAACGCCGCCGCTGCCGCGTGAGGGATCTAGTCTATGGTGGAGCGATCTCACACGGACTAAGGGAGCCTCCTTCCCCGCCGGGATGGACGTGGCTGCGACGGCCGCAGCCTGCTGGGGCCGCCAAGCCGTGCGGTGCACCGCCCGCCGCGGAAGCCTCCCCTCCCGGGGCCCCCTCTGCCGGCGCGGGGATCGGCCTACGGTACCGACTCGGTGGCTGGGCAAGGCTGAGGCTGTGTAGGCCTCGGGTCCCGCCCGCCCTGGCACCGCCGACCCCGCCACGCTCCTGTCTGAAAAACTGCCAGGGAAAGGAGATGGAGCTGGGCACTCGCGGGCCTCGGAAGCGGCCTGCCCCTCGGATGGGCTCCTGGTTCCGGCTGCCCTTCCTTCGGCGATGGTCCGCTCGCTCTTCCGACTTGCCGACTCCTTCTTCTCTGCAAAATTCCGGGGACCCCGCACTAGCTGCCTCCGCCCTGCCCAAGCCTCGGACCAGGTACTGGACCAGATTGCTTTCCCAGCTTTTTGCGCTGCTCCCTAGCTTGCTCCAGAAGCTGGTTTTTTGGAGCCAGCTTTTCGGTGGCATGATTCCGACCAGATGGCTAGATTTCGTAGCAGGTTACAGCGCCCTGAGAGCCTTGAGAGGACGGAAGGAACCTGCCGCTGTGCAGAAATCTTTGAGTTCACTGCAGCTGGACTCTTCGGAAGACTTGGTGGTCAGCCCCCTTGATTGGCTACAGGAGGGACCCCAATGGCCGTACTCATCCTCAGACCTGGAGTCGAAATTGAAAGCCCAGGAAAGAGCTTTGGACTCCGCAGCGCGCCCTTTTCTCCTGGAGCAGCCGTTCTGGGGGGTGGAGTTGTTGCCCAGCCGTCTTCAAGCCGGTATGGTCTCCTACCGAGAACTTGGCCCGGCACCCTCTGGGCCCCTTGACACCCAGAGCGTAGGCAGTTTCAAGGTAATTTCTTACCTGCTGAACCCTTCCTGTCTGGACTGCCTTCCCCAGCTGGAGCTGCGCTGTCGGAACAGCGTTGGCGCTGGCCAGCTGGTGGATTTCCGAACACTACCCCCAGAGAGCGGTTGCCCTTTTGAAGATGGTTGTCACCCCCAGCCTCTGCGTCCAGAGATCTCGGCAACCGCGTGGCAGAGGTGTCCCCCTCTTTCCACAGAAGGCCTGCCGGAAATCCACCACCTTCGTATGAAACGGCTGGAATTCCTGCAGGCCAACAAGGGGCAAGAGTTACCCACTCCTGACCAAGATAATGGCTACCACAGCCTGGAGGAGGAACACGGCCTTCTCCGGATGGACCCACAGCACTGTACAGATAACCCAGTACAGACGGTGCCCCCTCCTGGAGTCAGCCCCGAGCCCACTGAGAAAAAAATAGACTTGTTGATTAAAGAAGTTTCCCAAAGCCCCCAGGGAAGCTGTCTGCCCTGCGAGTTACCTGTGGAAAAAGCCAGTGAAGAGGACCACACTAGTGTAGTCAACAGCTCAGACATCAAGGATGACCTTCCTGTCTCTGCCAGACCAGTTTGTAGCAACAAACTGATCGATTATATTTTGGGAGGCGCCTCCAGTGACTTGGAAACCAGCTCGGACTCAGAAAGTGAGGATTGGGACGAGGATCCCGAGGATGATGGCTTCGATAGTGACGGCTCCCTGTCCGAATCAGACGACGGACAAGACTCTGAAGGGCGCCACCTCTGGAACTCTTTCTACAGTGTAGATCCTTACAATCCCCAGAACTTTACAGCCACAATTCAGACTGCTACCAGAATTGTCCCTGGAGACCCTTGCGATTCAGGGAGTGCCTTGTCTGACCGCTTCGATGTGGGGAGCTCTCAAGCTGGGCCCCTTTCTGATACCCCCGAGCATAGTTCTGGGGCAGAAGAGGACTGGGAATCCAGTGCCGATGAAGCGGAGAGTCTTAGACTGTGGAACTCTTTCTGCAGTTCTGAGGACCCCTACAACCTTTTCAATTTTAAGGCTCCCTTTCAAACGTCAGGGAAGAACTGGAAAGGCTGTCAGGACACACAAGCACCTTCTGAGACCACGGTGGCCTTTTCTGGGTGTCATACCGTGCTTTCTTGTAAGGTAACACTGGTACAGAGCCCAGAAGATAATTGTCCAGACTCTGGGCTGCCAGAGACTCTTTCTGGAGAAAAATTCACCCATAGCAAAAGAAAAAAGGTTTGTTTCTTTGCTTTTCCATGACTAATGATTTGCTGTCTTTTGATATGGTTTCTGTAGAAGCATGACTTTCCCTGTGGAGCCATAGTTGTGCATAGTTTTGAGGAAGGGCTCTGAGGCATGTGCTTGGATTGAGAAATACTCAAATGACCCCTCTTCCAATGTAGAGAAGTGTTCTCCTCTGGAAGGAGAATGCAGTGTGCAGATGGGAGCAGGGCTGTCATTTAGGTCGGTGGGTTCTGAAGTTTATAAATGGCTCACATGTAGTTTGTTTGTGAATACTTAATATTTTCTTTTCCCGACAGCAGTGCCTTTATTTCTCTCCATTGGAACCTAAAGGAATACTAGTAATTATTATAATATATTATGTACTAATGTAGCACTACTACTGATAACCCAAGTAACAAATTAGGCTTATCTAGTCATTGCCAGAAGGGAAGTGGTTGTGGTGTTGTATGCCTGTAATCCCAGGGCTTGGAGGGTGGAGGCGGGTGGATTTATTTTCTGAGTTTTGGAGTCTAATTTGGTCTACATAGTGAATTCCAGACTTGCCAGGGATACATAGGTATCTCTCTCTAAAAAAAAATAAATAAAACAAAAAAACAAAAAAAACAAACCCAAAAAACCCCGAATACTCGTGCCCAAGCTGACTAGAATTTGCAACCCATTTTGGTTTTAGGTCTCACTATGTAACCCAAACTGGCTTAGAACTCACGGAGGAGGTTCAAGCTGGCCTCAAAGTCATGATGTGCCTGATGTCTGAGCCTCCGAAGTGCAGAGATATTTGTGAGCCTTCAAGCTAACTTTAGACAGTGTGTTTGCTCTTTCAGTCTATCATTGTTTGGTTTACTTGATGTTCAGGGCATTTGAATTGCTTTATTTCTCTTGCTCCTTATTGAGCTGAAGGTATTAACCACGAAGACATGCCACACCAAACACACAGATGTCTTTTATGTTGAGGGATTTAGTTTCTTATACTTGCACCAATGAGTGTCAGATGACAGTGTTGTGAGCTACTGACTCCAGAGGGTCAGCTCTGAAACTAGTCTTGGCACAGGAAATATCTAAATGATAAGAGCCTTTTTATTTACTCATTTTTTACTGCAGAGTGTAGCTAGCTCCTTTGATTGCCCTGAACTTGATCTATCACCTAGCTACATCTCCAGGTCTCCTATTCTCTTCAGGATAGGAAAAATGCATTTGAGAGGGCGCAGAGTGAAGACAGAGAGGAAACAAGGTGGAGTAGTGGCAGGAGGCTTGGCCTCTGCAGACCGGCACCCTGCTCAGGGACATTAGGCTTGAGATGTGTTTGGGGCAGGGGCAAAGCAGCCAGACCTGGGAAGTTACTTCATTCACATGCCTCTGATCCACTTATCCAATGGGAATATACTAAGATCTGTAGTAGAAGTGTTGCAAGACCTGTTGTTTTGTCTTGTGATGCTGGGGGTTGAATCCTGGACCTATTGCATGTTAAACATGCACCTCACCACCGAGCTAGTTATACCTCCAGCCTGAGTTACCAAAAGATAAATGAGTAAATAAAACTCATAATTCATTCCCATGCCTTTGAATGGCTAAGGCCAACCACATGTCTCAGTTTAGCTTAAAACTACTGATTGAAATAGCCAAAACCAGAAGAGGTTATGTCTAAATCTGATAGTTACTTAACAGCCCCTGCTACCTGCCATTCTTTAGTTTTATGAGAATAAGGTGCCCAGTTGTTAGAATGAGTCCTTGAGATCATGGAGTGTAAAATACTTTGTGTACTGCAGAACAGCAGATTGTAAACTTTTTCATCCTAGTTTTGTACCGAGATGCTGTGGGATTTGGGCTGGTCGCTGATGTCTGGTTTCTTGTCTGTCCAGTGGTAACAGCACTGGTTCACATCTCATAGGGTTGGCCCAAAGATCAAATGAGAACATTTATAAATCTTTGAAAAAAGTTTGGCGTTTGGCAAACAGTGTAAAAGTGCTTATTTTCTTTATCTTAGTGACAATGACTGGGTAAGCACTAGAATGCAATATCTAGTAAGGTGTTACATGCTACTAATTGTCCTCAGGGGCATTCCTAGGCCTGATGTAAAGGGAAAGAAAGCCATAGGCCTCAGTGGGATTAGCTGATGTAACTATTAAACATGCTTTAAAGCAACTTTTATTTATTTATTTGAGACAGGATCTCTTGTAAGCCTTCCTGGCTTTTTACCTCTGATTGTTCTGCCTTAGCTTCTAGTGCTGGGGTCATGGGAGTGTCTTTGGGGTTATAGTGGTTACTCTTTGAATACTTTTTCATTTGGGGAAAAGAATACTTAAAATTTGAATTTCTGTTTTTTCTTTAAGAATTAAAGGATAGTGGGGATTAATAATAGGAAATCCAGAGTTCCTATCTCTGGTTCATTTTTCAATACCATTAAACAAGAATTGGACTTGAAGAGACTATCTGTAGATGTGTGAAGAAATGCACATCTCTTTCTGCAGCATTGTTAGCCATCATTACCCGCATTTGTAGTGGGGGTCAAAGGTTGTGTGTGTGTGTGTGTGTGTGTGTGTGTGTGTGTGTCAGTGTTCTAAGATTCTAGAGTAACATTTGGTTTGTCTTTCTAGGTAACCTTTCTTGAAGAAGTTACTGAGTATTATATAAGTGATGATGAGGATCGCAAAGGGCCATGGGAAGAATTTGCAAGGGATGGATGCAGGTTCCAGAAACGGATTCAAGAAACAGAAGATGCCATTGGCTACTGCTTGACGTTTGAGCACAGAGAAAGAATGTTCAGTAGACTCCAGGAGCACTCACTGTTCAGCAATGTTAAGACAAGTGAACAGGCTGCAGCCCTGGCCCACACTCTCTCTTGCTTGAGAGGTTTCTCTTAAAAACAGATAGATATTGGCAGCTGTCCTTGGACATGTTTTTAAAGAAACAACTTGTGTTTAGTGATGTAGTTGAATTATTTTTGGGTGATGTGTCTTATTAGAAACATCAACTCCGATAATGAAGAGACTTTAGTTTTTAATCTTCCCTTTTCCTATTTGGTTGGATGTGGTTTTTGTGTTTTTGAGACAGGGTCTTACTCCACAATTCTGGTAGGCCTAGGTCTTTGTGTGTAAGCTAGGCTGGCCTTGAAATTGATATCTTCTTGCCTCTGCGTCCTGTGCCACCATGTCCAACTGGATGTGATTATAAATATCCTCTGCTTCCTTGTGGTGGAAAGGGACCCTTTTAGTCATTACTTTGCACTTTCAATGCTTTTCTTCTGGAGGCCGAGAGCAGCCAGGTTTACATAGTGGGCTCCAGGCTGGGGCTACATGCTGAGACCAGGTCTTAAGGGACAAACAAAACAAAAGGTTGTTGGATTTTTTTGGTTGGTTTGGTTTGGTTTTTTTGAGACAGGGTTTCTTTGTGTAATTCTGGCTGTCCTGGAACTTGCTCTGTAGATTCAACTGGCCTCAAACTCAAATCCCCCTGCCCCTGCCTTCCATCTTGAGTACTGGGATTAAAAGCCTGCATCACCATGCCTGGCACAGAAAAGTTTCTTCCCAGGCCTGTAATTCCAGTTACTTTGGAGATCGAGACAGGAGGATAGAAAATTCAAGGTCTGCTTGGGCCTTAAAGTGAAAATGGAAAGGGAGGCTGGGGAAATAGTAGCAGAGGACACTTGCCTACATGTGCAAGGCTCTGGGTTCAATCGCTAGTGCTGCATATTCAATTTTAATTCATGCAAGGCTCTGGGTTCAATCCCCAGTACTACATGTTCAGTTTTAATTTAAAGTATGCATACTTAGCTAAAATCTTTGGGTTCTTGTGCTTTTCCTATTCTAGAGTGAATGGGCTTTTGTTTTTCCTGTATATATGTATGTGTTTATATATTTTGAGGCAAGGTCTCACTATGGCCTGGGCTCATGACAATCCTCCTGCTTTAATTTCCCGAGTGTATATATAGTCAGTCAGAGTCTCTCTCTCTCTCTCTCTCTCTCTCTCTCTCTCTCTCTCTCTCTCTCTGACCTATTTACCCTAAAGCTAAACCTATTGTACATGTTCTCAACTTAAAAGACATGTTTGTAGCACTTGAAAACATGGTGAATATCCCCCTTTTTTTATGTTTTTTTTTTTAATTTAAAGAATTGGTCTTGTGTGGTCTAGGCTAGCCTTGAATTCACTACTTAGCCAAGGAAGTCTTTGAAAGATCCTCTTGTTCTCTTGGTACTATTGCACATCTGTGTGCCACACATCCAGATTTTTTTCTATATCTTGGTCTATTTAAGCTATTCCCAAGGACCACCACAAACCCACAAGTGCAGTACTTTCTTGACTGGGAAAGCTGTGTTGGTATGTTTTTTAAAGACCTACACTGTGGTGCCCAGCTGCTCTGCCAAACTTCTAACATCTAGCGTATTTGATTTCTTCGCAGACTGTCCCTTTGGAAGGTTTCTGTGTTGTAGTTCTGGTTGAGTGTGGCTCTTTAACTCCCAGTGGTAGGAACTGTAAAGTACTCTAGGAAGTAGTCTTTGCATTGTAGGCATTCGGTTTTTACACTTGAAAGCCTAGAATTTTTCTAGCAGGAATATGCAGACATCTCAGAAATTCGGTTTTGTTTTATGTCCTCTTAACAGAAAGCCAGTGTTACTTACTCCCTGCCTCAGCACTGTCACTTTTAAAACCTGTCGTGGTGACACTGTAAACTTGGATTAGGTAGTTTTGCATTTTTAAGTGTGAAATGTCAAATACAAACTAAAATGTCCAGACTTATTGTGTTCTGCTTTATAGAGAAGCAATGGTGAGGCCCGTTCTTTGAGGAAAGCATAAAGTATAGCTAGAACAGCCAGAAAGTCTTACGCAAAGCTTGATCTGGAATAGTCTGCATTGAGTAGTATGCCTGGTTTATTCAGTTAGCTTTATCTGCTGTGTGTATGCTAGGTTGAGGTATGTTTAACCACCTCTTTAGTGGTCAGTTCTTAGCTTGTGCCTCCTGCCATGGGTAGTGGGGACACGAACAAAAGAGGGGTCCACTAAATTGGTCATGGGGAGGAGTTTTTCCGGAAGAGTTCGCAGCCTAACTACCTCAGTTTCTCATTTCCCTGGTTATTTCCGTTGATGTGCTCTAAGGTCTGCCTCCAGTGGTGACATTGTTCATTCATGTACACTAAGAATGCAGCACCAGGAAAGTTGGTCTTAGTTTTGCAGAACCCTCATTCTGTGTCATTTGTGCACCTGCATTTAGTGAACTGGTATAGTGCTGTGGAAACGGGCTAGTTAGAAAGCTGTGTCATTTGGAAAGCAGGCATGTGGACTTAGGAAGGAAAACTGTGGCAATACATAGACTTTTTAAAAATCAGGCTGCAGTTTAGCGTTTTATTTCAGACACTTAGTGTTTGTGTTTCTGAGACCCAGACCTGTATATTTGCGAGGAATGGGACATCTGCATTCCCTGGGTGTTTGGAAACCGTTCCAGGTTCCACTGTTGCCATCTCATGAGAAAACGACTGGTTAGAGTACTCGGTACACTGCCTGCCTACAGATGTGGTGGCAAAGACAAAGTGACTGAAGGAGAAGAACAGAATTACTGTCATTGTCATCCCTGTCCCAGATGTCAGGTCGCCCCCAAGGAAAGAACACCTCCAAGGCCAGGCATCGCAGGGAGGTTGTAGCTGCCTATTTTACACGCTCAAGTCTTGCAGTGGTGCTGTAAGGACCTGCATAGCATGTCATGGCTCTGTACAGATGGGGGTCGCCTTTCTGAGTGCTGAAATGGGGCCGCCCTTCACCTGTAACTTGAAATCAAAACTATCAGATTTTATTTTTTACAATTTAAGGTTAAGTTTGGGAACAAGATTTGAGTTGGCTTCTTCAGATCAATGATTTTAAATGTAACTAGTGGAGATTTTATAGCTCAGATTATATTTGTATATAATTATTAACTAATCTGTAAATTGTAATAAATATATTTGCAATTATTTAATGCTATGTGATATTTTTATGCATTCTTTTATATTGGTTTTAATAGTATGGGACAGGTTTTCAGAGTTAATCAGTTTTGTAGAAGGGCTGTAGGCGATATGAACATACATCTGGGTCAGATAAATGGCTCCTTAGCTCCTGTCCTGAAACTTTCTCTGTAGACTAAGGTGGCCTTGAACTCATAAAGACCTGCCTCTGCCTCCCAACCTGAGTGTTGGGATTAAAAGCGTGCACCACCATTGCCACCTAGCAAAGATCATACATACTCTTAAAATCCACAAGCCTTTAATCCCAGCACTCAGGAGGCAAAGGCAGGTCGATCTCTGAGTTCCAGGCCAAGGGTGGGCTCCTAAGCTACACAGAGAAACCCTGTCTCGAAAAATAACAACAAAAAAGTGTGAACTTTTTGGAGTGGTTTTAGACAGCTTTTGCTAAGTATACCCACCTTACTTAGCCTCTTAAGAGCTGAGGTACAGAGGGCACCACTGCCTGGCTGCCAACAGTCCCTTCTAAGAGGTGAGATTTCATTCTAAAGTCAGGGCCTGCTCTAGCAGCTGCCATTCCCTTTTCCCCCTTGCCCTCTTCCCCTCTGCTTTTCTTTCTTTCACTTGTTTAGTGTTGGGGATCTTCTCTAATTATTGGTAACTGGATATTAGGATAATTGTGAATTATCTAATTAACTAATTAGGATAGTTGTGAATTACCATGTAGGTCCTAGGATTTGAACTCTGGTTATTCCAACAGCCCAGAGCCCAGAATCTTTTTTTTTTAAATGTATATGGATGTTTTGTTTACATATACATCTATCTGTACACATCTGATCCCATGAGACTGTGGTTGTAAACCTCCAGGTGGGTGCTAGGAATTGAACTCAGGACCTCTGAAAGAGCAGTCAGTCCTCTTAACCGCTGAGCCATCTCTCCAGCGCCCCCAGAATCTTATCTGGGTTAGACAAGTACCCTACCAATTTTTTTTTTTAAGATTTTTTTTAAGCAACAAAGGGCTGGGTGGTGGTGGGGCATACCTTTAATCCCAGCATTCTGGAGGCAGAAGCAGGCAGGTCTCTGTGAGTTGGTGGCCAGCCTGGTCTACAAGAGCTGGTCCCAGGACAGGCTTCAAAGCTAAGAGAAACCCTGTCATAGAAAAGAAAAGAAAAAAGTCAGGGACCAGCCTCGACAAAAATACCAATTGCTAAGGTAGGGGCATGGGGATATAGAAATAGTAAAGAATATGAAGACGTAAATAAAAATAAAACAGAAAAATAGAGTTGTACCAGGAGGGAGTTCCAGTGAATACTGAAATCGCCCATATTTAATTTCCAATTGCTTTAAATACCCCTGACCCCAAAAGGTAGGAGAAAGCTAAAAAAACACAGCATTAACATGATACAAGGAAATGAACAGACCAGTTGAAAGTCATGGGCTACATCCATAGTTAAAACATTCTGTTGATAGAATGAAACATTCTGTAGGCAACCTACTCACTGGGTGGAATCCAATGTTTCTCCTTAAAGGAACTGGACTGTTAGTCAGGTCCTTGGACTTTTGTTTGAGGTAGAAACATATCTACTTCTCTATTCCTGAAATACAATGTCTGTTAGCAACACCTGTTGACAATAACCTTAAGAGAGCAGAACTCTGATCTAACTGTAGGCGGGAACTTTGAGGTAGGAATCCAGTAACCTTGAAGGAACAGAGGTAAGTTCCAACTTTCTGACCTTTGGTCAATGTGGAAATAGGCTCACATTTTCTGGCCTCCACACACATACACAAAAATCAACAAAATAAACAAGCTTTGTGTTTGTGTGTCAGAAACTTCTTTGTGTGTGTGTGTGACCAGGGGGTTGTGAGCTGTCTTGGGGCTAGGAACTAAACTCCAGTGCTCTCTGCAAGTGCAATAGGTGCCTTAATTACTGAGCCCCGCTCCCCCTTTCTGTAACTGTCCTGGCTGTCCTGGAACTCACTGAGATCCCCTGCCTCTGCCTCTCAAGTGCTGGGATTAAAGACATGTACCACAACCGCCCACCTATCCAGCCCCTTTAGTACAAAATTCCAAGCAGCTATTTAATACTGATCTCACCAATTCTGATCATTAAATGGCTTTGGGGCTCTAGTGATCTGATGGACTCTTTGGAGTTACTTCTCTGTTTCCACCTTTATGTAGCTCTAGAGATAAAACTATCAGGCTTAAATGGCAAGGCCTTTCCCCCAAGCCTGCTAACTGGCCCTCCATCTTTGTTTTTTGAGATAGTGTATGGATGGATCAGGGCCCCCTGCCTTTGCTTTCCAGGTGCTGGGATTACAGGTATGCACCCCCATCCTGATGTGCACACACAACGTGCACACACACACACTACTGCTTGGTGTACTG